GCTACTGGGATCTCTCCTATATCTCCCTCCTTGATGCTGCTGAAAGATCCCTCCTCCGTGGCTCCTAATCATCTTCCGATTGTATCAAAAATATCAATGGCATTAATTGTAAATAATACAAAAATCTAGACAATTGCTTATTATAGTGTCTATTAACACTTGCTGCTGGTTTGAGTCTGCACCACAAATGATGTTTATTATGTTCGCAATTCGCATGCAATCCCGTTTCAGATCCATGGTATCCGTAATTCTAACATATAACGTGGGCGCTCTGCTCCCTACGTAGGGGTGTTCGATCATTTCTAGCCTAGCCCAGTTCGGCACACAGCCTAGAAATTGATGGGCTTGGGCCTAGATTTGTTTTCAGGTCTAGCCCAGGCACAAGTTTGCATCAAGTAAATTTTCAGGCCGAACTTTGTTTTAATACTTTACTCATGGCCCATAATGTATTTTATGTATTATAATATATTTTTTTACGCCATGTATTGTAATATATTATAAAATATAAAAATCATATGTACATGTAACATGAAAGTCATAAAATCAGAAGTTAGGAACCAGGTTTATATTTCAGATGCAAGGTTTGGACCAAGCAAGAGCCTGGGATCCCCTATTCCCACAATTCTAGCTATTAAGAGATAGAGATTGATCGTTACTAAAAATGTAGAGAGAGAGAGATGAATATAACAAAATTAAAAATTTTCTAAACAAGTAGTTTTATAATTAAAATAGTTTACTAAAATTACATATTTATCCCTATTTTAGTAGTTTGAGGCTTTTAACTAGGCATAATAAATGTAAAAACTTTTCAATATTCTTAGTTTTGGTTTTCTTGACAAATTTTAATTTGTATATTCCTTTGGGCATTCCCCACTAAGCTGCTCTAGATGCCACATCTGACAAGAAAAAATCTAAGGCTAAGTTTGGTTTGAAGGAAAAAGTGGGGAAAAGAAAGGAAAGGTAGGAAATTCATAAAGGTTTCTCTAACTTTTTTTTCCTTTCCCTACTTTTTCCTTCAAACCAAACACAGCCTAAAATTAAACCAATCAGAGATTGACTAAATGACTTCCTACAGGAATCAGATCATCAATGCAACGCTGACTTTAGGGCTAACCAATAATAATATCCCATGTCAGTCAATTAAAAGCGTTTTAATTAAACAAAACGTCAAAAAACAATTCAAACTTTTTTTTTTGGTATTTGATGCCATGCCATCATTAATAACTTCTCACTTAGACTTTTTTTCTTAAAGTATTATTTGCGAGATTAGATTCCACATCAGTTGGAACAAAACAGCTAACACACCAAAGAACCAACCCTCGGTTGGTTAAGAACAAACCAAGCTTGAATCTGTGTTTTATTCCAACATCTCCATGGTTGCAATTGGCAAAAGAAGCCCCTCTCACCGGAAGAAGAGGAAGCCTCACGGCAATCTAGGTTTCTCAGTTCATATAAAGCCAAAAGCAATTGCGTGAAAGCCCTGCCAAATAGGCACTTCATCACATGGGAAAGCCAGAAAGCTCCAATGCAATGTATGTCGATTGATGAATTGATCGATCTGATCTGACATGAAAAAAACATAACATATTAAGGCTCCATTCACTTTTCAATAAGTTATTTACCTGGATAAATGCAATTACCTGGGTAAGCTTTTCCTGGTAAACACTTACCTGAGCAAGTGCATTTATCCATGTTCTTTTATTTCTCTGGTAAATAAGGTAATGACCATTTTAACAATATAAATTCATTATTAAAAAGGGCATTTTTATCCCATTCAAGTGTTGATAACTTTCCCCCTATGTGGGAAAATTATTTATCCACCTAAGAGATGGGTATCACTTTCTTGGATAAATGATACCCAAGAAAAAAAACTTTCTTTGGTCCCCACATAATACTGAAAACATAACATGAGATTCTTGATCAATGAGAACCAAAATCCCATTGACCAATTTCCACTCTCCCTCTCAAAATCCAAAAAAAGAACACCCCCTAATTGTCACCTGCCAGTCCAGAGTGTCTTCTAAGTAGTCAAGTGGGAGACTAGCAGGTCGAATATGAAATCCTTCTCCGTTTCCACTTAATTCTATATATCTGTGAAAATATCTACCAAGCAACTTCAAATTGAATTGAATTGAAATATCTGCCAGACTGCCACGAAGTACTAACCGGCCCGTTTGTGTCTGGCCTTTTTTTATCCAATCTTCCTCGCTCATTTACCCAAGAAGGAAAAAAAAAAAAAGTACACAGCTAGAGGAAAAGCAAGATTATTTAATATCGACATCCATGGTTTCGCAGAGCAGATGCCAAGCCTCGAGGCCGCACGAGCCCTGCTACCAGATCTTCAGACTCACGGATATAGATATTATGGTATAAACTACTCCACGTCGATCAAAAGTCTATAATCCAGGATCTAGAATTTCACTCTTGAATCATATTTTCTTCAGGCAGCAGACAATAATCAAATAATGGATTCTGCGCATGTGGCCTACAGTCTTCAGTCTTCATTGCAATCTCACCCAACACCTTCCTGGAGCAGGCGGGCAGAAGAAAACAAGTCAACGTTGATCGTTTAAAACATGCCAATGGACTTCATCTCCACCAACCATCTTCAGCAAATTAAGTTTAGAACGAAGGGAGTTTAAATTTCTTACTTTCCAACAGTCTGTGTTGCGTTGGGGATTTAAACAATTAATGAACGTAATTGTTGATCATTCACGGTAAAGATGTTGCCAAATTAAAATTTTCTCAACCTACTCTATTTGTTTTTTTTTTTGGTTCGTCATGTCAATTTACAGTCCATTCTGACCAAATTTACACTTTCCCATGCATTTGCACCTATTGCTTATTTGCCCGTGCAGATTTTGCATTCCAAAAAAGAGGTCCCACGCCTCCCACCCCACCTATGACCTCCATTCTCTACACTCTTCATCTACTGCCCACAAGTTATTTCCACATCGATCCTTACCTATAGAACACCACTTCATGGGAACATTTCGTAAGAATGTGCGATGTGGGGTAGATAGCAGATCCCAACCTCTTTTCTTCCGTGTAAATTGGGGATCATATGATCATAATCCCCCTATTTCACTTCTTCCAACAAAACAATGCAAACTGATATTTGATCAAAGAATGAACCAAAATCTGTACTCCCAACTATTTGCATCAATGCAAGTTTCCATTTACATTTCAAACATGCATAAATAAATGGTTTTTGGTTTTTCTTATTTTTGGAATAATAACAAACAAAAACATGCCAGCCGTCCCAACACATGTTGTAGGAATGGTTGTTGGGACCCCAAATGCCATGATACCTACAAAAACCTGAAACCAATCAACTGGTATCAGATAAAGTGGTAACCAAATGAGCTGATATTCATCAAAACTCACGGCCTCACGGGGGTTCTGAATCAAAGTTATTTCGTTATCATATCTTTCTAGGGTTTCTGAATCAAAGTTATTTCGTTATCATATCCTTCTGGCATCATACAAATTGCTATCCAGATATCATCTTAAGTGCTGACGTTGGATGGGCTCGGATCTGCTACCTATGAACTATTCCTATTTCCTACACCTCTCTGCCCAAGAGACAATACACAGTGATGGTGCTATACAATGTATATCTCCCTTATTATTCATGGGATAATGGAGATGTTCACAATATACAGTGGTGGTGTGGTGCTATATGGACATGTATGTGGGAATAACATGTCAGTTCCCACGTCTCTACCACCAAACATGATAGTTGTATATTGGGAATCTCTCTTAACACATCTCAACCCTATTTATCACATCTCAACCGTGTACTGGAAACATCTGCTAACGACATTTTATCATCTCTCATATTTATCATGTATTAGGAACATCTGCTGATGATGATATTTCATCATCTCATCTCATCTCCCGCATTTATCATCAAAAGATATTTTCAATAGATGGTTAAGATGTTCTATTGGGGCATTGTGGGTAGGGTTCAAAATATCAACACATTGGTCGATACATATCGTTCTAAGGCCCCTCCGATATGCCGTTTAGTGGGTCTGACCGATTTAAGGGGTAGAGGAGCCCTAAACCTCCCCCCTCAATCGGTTTCAGAAATAAAAAATTAAAAATTAAAAACAGTACGTATCGGACGTATAGATATCACACCCAACACCGCTTGTGGGGTGATGATGTGAATCGTTTCCAATACACGGCCTCCCTTATCAACATGCCAATGAATTAGCTTACGAAAAAAATAAACATTCTAATCCGACGGTTGGCGGTTGGTAATTAGCTGAATGCGTACTTATTCGGTAAAACGTAAAACTTCTGCTTCTTTCTTTCTTTCTTTCATCAGGGTGCCCACCACTGTCCGATCATATAGTTCATACGCGTAGGTAGAAACGCTGGTGCGCACCACGCACTTCCACTTGGGAAGTTGGAACACCAATGTCAACAACCAACGATTCTAGTATTCTAGATGGGAGTTGGGACTAGCATCTAGCAAGAGAGGATACCGATAGCGTACAAACAAGGTGCGCAGTACGCACCTTCCACTAGCGGCACGGCGACACCAAATGGTGTGATGGTCAACCAAGGAGGTGCCGCAAAATTGCACCTGCGGCTGCGTGAAGACGCCAAGCCGGGAATATGCTTGGGCCTTTGGATAAGATCAAGCCAGTCGGCCCCAAGTCCCCCAAACAAAAAGCCAAACTTTTAAGTCTAAACCCACTCTTTCCCCTCGCGGGCCACGCCTGACGCCGCCCAGGTCCCCACCCGCAATACCAAAACAGCCCATCCTCTTTCTTACGAGTTACTTCCCAACCCCGACTTCTCTCAACACACAATTACAGAATAACAGAATACAGAGTACAGTCGTCCCCCTTGAGGCTGAGGCTCCGTTCCTTCGTTAATGGTAGACATGACATGACTATGAATGATATGGGAGAAAGAACTACATAACTGAGAAACCACAAACTTGCAAAATTTAAACAAAGTAGGGAAAATTCAAGAAAACAGAGTAGACCAAAAGAAAAATGAACGAATATATCTTGGAGTCTTCGAGTTACAAAATTAACAAAACGATTACAACATTACATCCATATATCTCCAAAAAGAAAGAAGGCGAAGAAAAAGAAAACAGAGTGGGTAGATTACAACTATCTACAAAAGCAGGCATCACGGGCCAGACCCCGCCCGCCTACGCGTAGGCTTCCCGTCTTGGCGCCAACGCAAAGAGAACTTCTAGATCAGGCGGCTGAAAATACCCATTCTTCGGTGGGTCTCTCTTCTTTCCGTAAACCGGTTTCTTCCTAGGAGGCGGTGGGCACACCGAAGCTGTCGGAATTTGACATTCCCCGTGTTTAGGCGTCTGACACCCCTGCTCTTCTTCTGTCATCTCCGTTCTCTCGTCTACTTCTATCTCCATCTCTCTCTCTCTCCTCTCTCCTCTCTCCTTTTATGTCTCCCTCTTACCGTGCCTGTCTCTGTCTAGAAATCGAGGCGAAGAGAAGTCGAACAAAAGACTTCCCGAACTTATCTAAGCTACGGGGATCCCTCAAACTCAAAGGAGATATGCTTCTTTATATGTATATATATAATAATATAATAACTCTCGTTTGCGAGATTTTGTACGGGGAGTTAGAGAAGAAGGTCGTGGCTTGTTCCGGAAGCTACTATTAAATACGATCCTGTGGTGGAGCCACCCACAGCTCGGCATGTATGGTGTCTTCGTGTCCACAAAGCAATGGGGGAATTCGTCTACGTGGCATGCATCACGTGGTCCCCGTTGCACCGCGTCTAGGACCCTTCAAATAAGACGGCGCCCCCCTCAAGTTGGTCGGTGAACGCGCGGGAAACTTCCCTGAACGAACAGTTTGAATCTTGACCACCTCTCCTTCACAGTCTTCCTAATCTCCATCTTCATAAAACATAAATTTGCTTCCTTCTCCTTTCTGTTTGTTCCTGTAGTAGACAGATAGATACTCATACCATTGTCTATGACCCTTTATGATTTGTGGTGGAACCCCTCCGGCGACCGGCCATATCTTGGCTGGTAACCGAGAGGAGGGGCCACGGCAACCAACTCTTGGGTGCTCATTCTGCCACGTTAAAGTTTTCATGGTGTCTTCTTCGTAGAGGACAACCGACACGTGCCCACGATAAAAGAGAAAAAGGATGATGGGTGAGAGTAATGCGTCTCCCGCTCCATTACCTTTTCATCCTATTCCTAGGTCATAGTGTAATACTAATGACTTTACCTTTTCGATCCTCCAAGGCTCCAACTCCAAATCCTTTTCTTTTGACTCGCTTACAGCTGTTGGCCCGGCCGACGCGTCATTGAAACCAGTAAGACTGAATGCAACTCGTTAAAGACCGATCGAGTTCTCCTAGATGTTCCTCCACGACCACGAGTGTTGTTTTTCTTGAATAACCAGCAATGAATCAAAACAAAGAAAATGACAAATATATTTGATGATATCATCCTTTTGATTTTTGAATGATCTTAACATCTAAGCGGCCGACCGACAGTATCTACTGTCCATGGCGTTGGAGGACGCTGTCTCCTCCAGTGAGGAAGTGGTTGAGGCCCGAGAGGCGAGGAGTGAGGCCTCTCATGCTCAGCCACCGACACTGCATTTTAAAACCAAATAAAAAAACAAAAAGAAAACAAAGTACAGTGAAAAGGTACAGAGTACAAACCATTGAATTTTGAATAAGAGTGGAAGAGGATGATGGAATATCATCAATCTACAAGTTACAACTCAATGAGCCAAAACCCATCAGCCAGCTCGTCTCGTGGTCATGCTCGTCTAACTGAAACGACTGGATTCCGTGGTCCATGTTCTTAACGTCGGTCCAACGGGATAATATTCAGAGCCTCTGTTGATGTTACCCCAATTGCCAGAAATAAAGTTTAACAGTGAGTGAGGAAGAAAGTCAACGCTCTCGCCAGTAGGAAGTTTCGAGTTGCCCAGTGATCCAGATCTACCCAAATGGTGCGCCACTCACTCATGCTTCCATTTTTTTTTTTTCTTTTAAGACAAAATGCTGATTGCCGCTGTTGAATGGGTTAGCATCTCATGCAACAAAGGAAAGCATGAGGTTGTTGATATTTTAGCCGCATTGGTCCATAAAGTGTGGGTTGTTGATATTTTGAATGTTTATAGTTCGGCAAGGGAAATCAGAAATCTGTATTGGGCCTGTCTGTAATTTTTCGTAAAGATAAACCTCCTTAAATGATTGACTTGTAATTGCCCCTATGTTATTTGCAAATTATATGACTACTACACATTCCAATTTGTAATTGTATTTATGGTATTTGAAAATTAGAAATTTATCACACATAAGACAAATCTTTCAATTTAATTGATTCTACGTCATTCATAAATTATAAGAATGCCATATATAAGACAAATTTACTCTCTTTATAGTAATGCCTATATGATATTTGAGAATTACACCAATGTCATATATAATTATTTACGATTATGCCATCCTACAGAGTAAGATGTCATCCCTCTTCTCCCTCGCTTAATTCTCTCTTTCTATTCTTTATCTCAACTTTTATTTATTCATTTATTTATTTTCTATTATTATATAAGTATTTATTTATTTAATAAAATTAAATAAATTATTTATAAATCAATAAAATAAAAGAGATTTGACATTGAGATAAAGATTTTAATAGACATTTATTTATTTATTTTATTATTATCTAAGCATTTATTTAGTTAATAAAAGTAAATAAATAATTTATAAATCGGTAAAATAAAGGAGATTTGACATTGAGAGAAAGATTTTAGTAAACATTTATTTATTTATTTTACTAAATTATTTATTTATTTAGAAATAATTTACTAACAAATTATTCTCTTCCCCTTGAGCCTAATATTTAGGTAGGGTTGTCAATGGGTTGAGTTTGACCCAACAGACCCAATGAACTCGAACCGATTGGGCCAATTCTAGTTCTAGGAATTGGAACTAACGAGTCAATTCTAGGTCGACCCACTTATTGTCAATTTGGAATATATATATAATGTATTATATTAAATAAGTAAATTATATATATACTATACATATAATATATATAGAATATTTAATATTATATATATATATATATTTTTTTTATTATTATTTTAATCGTGTTTGTCAGGTCAGGCCCAATTGTCTCGAAAATCGATCAGTTCGGTTCTGGTCCAAAAATTATAGACCCTATTAGGTCCAAGTTCTCAACATTTCATGTGGGATCAGTTCCGATTCCAACTAATTCCGACCCATACCCGACCTGTTGATAGTCCTATATTTAGGGCTATCAATAGGTAGGTTTGAGCACAATATTTATGAGGGGGGCCAAAATGTAAATGGAATGGGGGGCCATGGCTTCCCTGGGTTCCCTTAACTCTACCCCTAGGGTTGGGATTAAACATATTCATAGGCCACGTCAGTATGTGACATTTGCCTTTATATCAATAGAACATATTTAAGTCTAAGTTTGAGCATGACCGGATCATCAGGCCTAGATCTTGAGGCCAAGCTCAACCCCCCATATAAAGCCCAAAGCCCAGTTAGAAAATTGAGAAAAAAAAAGATTTGTATTCTTTATTTAACAACAAAATTAATTTATTTATACTAAATTGACTTCAAAACTGAAAATTTTATTTATTTATTTATTGTTTTATTTTATTAAATTAAATATACTATTATCTATAAATTTCTACTTATTTTAAATAAATTCTTTTTCTTAAAAAATGTACATTTTGCAAATTCATTTTTTCCTATATAATAACTTAGCTTTCGAAAGCCCTGCAATGCAAGGCCCCTCCGCTAATTTTGTATTACATAGAAACGAACTACTGATTGCTTACTTTCCAACATTCCCCGACATGTTAAACGCCAGATTAGAATATTTTAATACGTATGTTTTGGGCTTTACAAGTTCGGATCCTTCTGAACATGTGAGAACATGGTTAAGCGGCCCACAAAGGCTCCATCTCTGTTTTCTTCCTTTCCATTCATGGGGAAGAAGAATCAGCACAACAAGCCCTTGTGCAGAAATTATGACTATGACTAGAAAAGAAAATAAAATTTCCCTGTCTAAGATCACTAGGGAAATTTAGCCAATTCACCATTTGTTTGGGAGGGGGGACATGAAATCAGGCTGGGGCAATATTAGAAAACAGTTTAGTCCTTTAGACAATGTGGGGAGTTCAAATCAGCCCCCTCCACAACGTCTCACAGCATATTTCCGCCGTGTATTGGAAACATCTCCTAATAATAATTCTAGAAATGATGATATCATCATCGAAAAATATTCGCAATACACGGCAAGGATGTGCTGTGGGATGTTGTGGGGGCTAATTTGGTCTCCAATGTGGAGGCATATTTAGATTACAAAATAGAAAAAGGCTGAAAGAAAATAAAAAGAGTTGGGCAAGAAAGGCAACCACCACTCCAGCAGGGGTTTGAAATATACAAGTGATAATGGGTAATGTCATGAGTTGGTCACAATCCACATGGTGCACATGCTCATCAATCCATGCCGCTTAGAATTAGATGGCGCCAGCATTTCATTCCACCATGAATCCAATTGTCTAATCCATGGACACATTGCTGGAATAGTAGCCATTACTTCATAGAAACTTCAGAAATAAATGATTGGGCCAGAAGTATTATTCTTTGGGCCAGATCCAAGCCAAAAATAATGTGACAGAGATAGTACACCAGATCTATTAAAATACTTAACAAATATGGGTGTCAATGATGCATACATAACACCAAAAATTAACATCACCACCCACAACAATAATGATTCATCACATGAGGAAGAAGAGGAGAAGGACAATTTAGAGTTCTGTCAAAGTTGGAATGCTTGCTCACCCAGCTCATCATCATCAATCCCCTTCTCTTTTGTTTTGGCTACTACATTTGGTTCTTATATACTATTTTCCAGTACAAAGACAATTTCTCAAACTTTAGTGGGTGAAGATAGGACACTAGGAGCACGACGCACGATGATGCCTTATCGGTGCCCTTAGCTTAGCTCTGACATTTTCCCGACCTTTCCCTCCTCATTCTGTTGCTTACGGGATTGCTTAAAGATAAACATAGAGCCACACAAGTTTTCTTTTTGAGTTTTTTCTGTTTTACACCAAGTGAGTCAGTGGCTGAGTTGATTAATTAAAATACAATATGATAATACTTCGCATACATTGCTAAATTCTGAGGCCTCGACTGTTCAAACATCACTGTGTAACACCTGCCCTTTTCTCTAGCACGATCGGATCCTATATACTCGATAATTTAGCAGATTCCATTCCAGCTAACAAAGCTTTTCCCTTCCTCAAAGTCTGTCAGGTTAGTTCTTAGACCCAAAACCAGATTTTGACCCAGCCCACTGCCCACCCCGTCGTCGTCACTCTTATGACCGCAGTTTGGAAACAAGGAGAAGTCAGAAGAGATGACACTGAGAGAGAGAGAGAGGAAGAGTTTGTTAGCTACGCTAAGCCTATATTAGTGCACATGGCTCATTTGAGTAATGGACTGTTGATGTTTGGGTGCATGGAGGTGGGTAACAATTAGGACATGTCCTTCTCCTGCATTTATAATGTAGTAAATAGCCAATAT